GCTTACGTCAAGCATTGCTTTTTCGGGTATGTGAGGCTCATTATATGGAGCCTTTGTCCTCCATTGAGGTTTGGGCAATGAGAGTTTAGGGTTTAGGTGTTTAGGAGATATTGTGAACTCAACATGTATGGATACCATGCTTGCTCCTGCGTCTGCCCTGAACCTTCATTGCATATCCTACAAACTCAAAGCGTTAGCTCTGCGCTTTGTTACGGTGTTCGAGCACATGTGCTCGTAGATGCTGTGCCAAAACGGCTCCTTTTCCTTTGGCCCCTTGCTCCATGAACTGTCAGGGAGTGCTAGCCGGCTGGATAATTCCAAAAAGCAACTAAGCAGGTTCCTGTTACCGCTCTTTGTGTAATCTCCCCCTGGTAAGGCTGTCCAGCCCCTTGATAACGTCTGTTCCAAATCAAGTAAGATAGGCTAGAACAGGAATACTGTATACTCCTTAAACCATGAACCCACTTTTGCGATGCCGTATGGCCATGCAAGCGACAAAACCTCATTTGCAGGGCGGTTCAGAGGTTTAGAGCTTGGTCTTTGGGAAGCTCTAAACCCTAAGTCTCCCTAAGTCCCTAAACCCAAAACCTTAAACCTTAGAGGGGTCCAGGGTTTGGTCTTTGAGAAGCTCTAAACCCTAAAAACCTAAACTCGCAATCCTACACCCTAAAGGGGTTTAGGTTTGGTCTTTGAGCAGGTCGAAGCCTTGTCCATCGAGTGGAATTTGACGCACGCCGGTGCCCAAATTTTCTGTGGGGTTTTAGATCCCTGGGGCTCTAAGCCTGGAGAAACATTACTCATTTTGGGCCCTAATCACTAGAATCCGTACTTATTTTGGGCAAGTTGGAGCACCAGGGGTAGGATGGAGATACATGCTGTGCGGCGCGCGGAACTCAGATGCACAGAATCTTCTTGCTGTAGTGTGTAAGCCTTTACATCCCTAAGCAAATGGGAATGAAAGGGGCTCCAGACTACTGGCTACATGTCTGGGAGTCTGCCCTGAACTTTTTTTGGATTCTGCTTAAACCCTCAACCCTGAGCGTTAGACCACGAGGCCTAAACTTCAACCCTCAATTCAAGTCTTTCTTGCAACCCAACCACCAAGGAGGCCAAGTGCAAGCTGAATGAGGCAGATTGCAATTTTCTCGGTGCTTCAGTTTTGTTCAGTGAAATGGGGTAGAAATTCTATGCCCAATCTGGGGCCCAATTGATGACAGACCCTACACTTTTTAGAGTACACAGCGAAGCTTCATGTTGAATAGATTCTCGGTCGTCAAGTTGAAGCTGCAACAGCTGCCTGCCAGATGGTTTCGAACAGAGGCACGAAGAAGGGTGGGGCCCCCAGTGCGTGTGCATGTCAATGTGAATGTCGCTCTAACATCCCCCATGGAGCTCGTCAGGGTGATTTCCAGACGTATGAAAGACATACAGCTGCATACATATGCCACACATGATACGTATACATACTTTCCGGGGATCCCTCAAAGAGACCCATCGTGCCTTTTGACGATCACAGCTGCCAAGCTCCAGCCAAAAGCAGGATGCTGCGTGCAATGGTCCAACAGACAGGCTGCAAGCTCGTATGGCTGGAAGTCGACTGCCGCCCTTGCTATGCTTTTCTTAGAAGTGATACCTCTTGTGTACCTCAGAAGATTCGGACAAAATGGGCCCATGTGAGTTTTTCAGACATGCACATGTCATGGAGCGGAGTATCCAACAGGATGATATCGGAACGGAGGAAGCCGCCGGGGGCACGTTAACACCTGCCGTCGTGTGGGTAGCCGCTTTACTAATGCGATGTGTGCCCTAAAAAGGGAGTAAGATTTCAAGGGGGACCCAAACATATTTAGGTCCTTATTATGGGGACCCCCAAAAAGATAGCCCTAATTTTGGGAAACTCTCATGTAGGGCTTTCTACATCTTCCGTCGGATCCCAATTCAGAGGTCTGAGTTGAGCATTTGGGAGTGCGGTGCGGGGCTCCGAGTTGGTTTAGGGCTTAAGGTTTAGGGTTTAGGGCTTAAGGTTTAGGGTTTAGGGGGTTTAGGTAGATTCATGTAGTAGGTTGCCAAGTTTCTGATCCATGTTCCAACTTTTTCAGGGCCAGAAGGGACAGAGCTCTCCGTGCGTAGGTGCCACTCCCCAGAAAGCCCAGTATCGCTCAATTGGGAATGTAGATACTAGGATCGACTCTAAACCCTAAACCCTATTGCGCTGAGGCCAGGACATCGTGCGTTTGGAAAAGATTTTGGAGCACACGCAGAGCAAGTCAGACACAGCTTCTTGTCATTTAGGGTTTAGCCCTACGGGTGTTCAGTAGGGAATAGCGAATATAGATCCCTACTGCACTTCCTTGACATCCTCCAGTAATGTAGCAGTTTCCATTTCCCTCTTCATCCCTTACTTCCCTAAACCGCTAAACCCTAAAACCATAAACGACAGTTTCCTTTATCCTTGCACCTCCTTCATCCCTTAGCAATAACAGTGAGTTGTTCGGGGCCTGGCTTGGGAATTCGAGTTGTACGACTTGATTTTGGGCACAAAATCCTTTCATCTTCAGTTTTAGGACCGTATAGCATAAACCTGTTTCTAACCCGCTTAAATGGAAGGTCTCTTCAGTCTAAGGTCCGGCATGGGGCACGTTCGATGTTACTTTGTGCTGCTGGTCTGGAGACGGAGCAAGGTGTGTCTATGTGCAGGGCCAACCCCGTTTGGCTACCCATACTTTTGGGGGGAGCTAAGGAGCTAGGGATAGTCTATATGAATATATCAAGGGGAGCTACAGAGCCCAGGATTCTCCAAAACCATAGGAGAGTTGGTGTCCTTTGGAAAGAGTGACGTTGATGAGGTTTTGTAGCACAGGATCGCGGGATTTAAGAGCATTCGTATGCTTACATTCTCAGTAGGAGCTGTGTAAGTATGGAGATGCAGCTGCACAAGCCCTAAGCCCCAAAACTGCAAACCCACAACCCTAACCCCAACCCATAAACCCCAAACTCTACACCCTCACTGAAGCCGTCGTCCTCAGCCTTCGACATGGGGCCAAGTCCTTCAAAAGCAAGGCATTTTGAGTTCCCACTTAGGGTTTTGAGTTCGGGGCGGCAGCTGGCGTGTTTGCCCCATCATTTTGCTGATCATTCCTATAATCTTTAAACCCTAAACCCTGAATCCTAAAGCTTCAAACTGAGAACGCCTCCGAAACGGGCTTTGCAAGTATGAGTTCTTCCTCCAAGTTTCCATAAATAGGTTTCGTCAGCTCAGGATGTAGGGTTTAGGGTGTAAGCCCCAGAGATTGTCCCCCATCTACTCTCATTGGGGCTCTCCAATTTGGAAAGCCCCATATGAGTAGTATTCTATTTGGGGATACTATGGTACCCACTATAGAGTAAGATTCTATCCTCCTTTTTGGGTATAGTGCATTATATAAGGAATATAATCTTACTGGGTTTAACCACCAAATAAAACGCTACTCATATCCCCGTTTGTGTCTAGGGCTCGCGGATTCCATCTTCTGAAAAGCATCAACCCTAAACCCCAATCCTTCTGGGTTTGGGGCTTAGGGTTTAGAATCCTGTCCTACCCTTTGTACATGCCCATATACCCGTATAGACATTCTTTGAGGACCCTTTGTCGCAAGCAACTTGGATTCCACTCTCAAAATATCACATGGCTCGAAAAGGTGAGGGAAAGGAAGATGGGGCATAGGAAATGAGCCCCAGTATAGCAGCATCTAATCCCTTTAGAAACCCCTAAACCCTAAACTCTAGCCCGCCTTGCTTCATCCAACCCTCTGACCCGCCTGAAAACAGAATGATGAGGCTGTAAATCTGGCGCAGCAAATCTTGGAGGCTGCCTGGTGGTAGTTTCCGCTTTAGGGCTTAGGGTTTAGGGCGTAAGGTTTAGGTTTTTGAGGATGTGGGGTTTTAGGGTCTTTAAGGTTTAGGGCGTAGGGTTTAGGTTTTTTGAGGATGTGGGGTTTTAGGGTCTTTAAGGTTTAGGGCTTAGGGTTTAGGTTTTTTAGGATGTGGGGTTTTAGGGTCTTTAGGGTTTAGGGCGTAGGGTTTAGTTTTTTTTAGGATGTGGGGTTTTAGGGTCTTTAAGGCTTAGGGCTTAGGGTTTAGGTCTTTTAGGATGTAGGGCTTTTAGGGTCTTTCAGGTTCAGGGCTTACGGTTTAGGTCTTTTAGGATGTAGAGTTTTGAGGTCTTTAAGGTTTAGGTTTAGGGCGTACACGGCTTGCGAATTTGTGTTGTTGCAAAGGCCTTCAGTGATGTGGGCGGCTTCAGAAGTACGGGTCAGGTTCTAAACGCCCTAAGCCAACCCTGAACCTTAAACCCTAAACTACCGGGCTACAGCCTCGGCCATAAATCACAAGGGCAGATTGGTGATCTCAACGACCGGAATATGGACCCCAGATTATTTTCAGGGCGAGGTGTGCACATGATTTTTTCAATTTTTCTAGGGCCCCCAAACCTACCCTAGTTTGGTGGTCGTGACGTCCGGAAACAGGACTCTATGCTATTATTGCTGCTATTACTACCCTGGTGCTGTTAGTATTTAGTGTTGCTGCTGTTATTTGGTATCAACACTTATCATGTTATATGACTATCATGCAATGCTTTTAGGGTCTTTATTCAAGGGTTGCGATACCAAACCATCCTAGACCCATTTTCCATTTCCTGTTCCATTTGATTATCTGCTATTTGCCGGCTTGAGACTTAAACGCCCCTAATTGTCTCTTACTATTCCTCTTAATACTTCTACAAGGGCATTTGGAGTCCAGGTAGCCCTACAGGCCCCTTGAATCCTCAACCGCAAACCATTAAGCCTTGAACCAGTGGATTCCTGCCAAAGAACTTGGCTACCATAATGGGTATATACACTAAATTATATGGCTTCCTCGCTATAGTAGCTTAAACCAAGTTCTTTAACAGCAGCCCAGAGCATCAACCGTAACCACTTGCATGCGACAACCTGCAGGGAAAGCTGGAGGACTTGCCAGACATGGGTGAGGCAGGATTCAGGGTTTTGTCCGAAAGGACCGAGTGTAAGGGAGCCCTAGATGGAAATCGATAGAAGTACTTATACCTTGGGGTGTTGTCGAGGAGCCCTTCTGCCTAAATACCTCTGATACTCGCACACTTCCCCGTGGAAGAGTAGCGGCACCAAGATCAGACATAGGCCCCTACAAGCACGTAGCAGGAAGATTCTGGGCTTACTATTCTTTTTATCTTGGAGTGTACAAGAAGTGAAAAGATATCCGAGGCCTTGTGACTGGTTTCATGGGCGATCAACGGCCAAGAGAAGGGACCCTAAACCCTGAACCCTCAACGATAATTTTTAAGTGCCCAGGCATCCTTGGAGCAGTCTTAAAGTGAACCAATGTAAGTCACGAGCAAAATGGGCCTCTTATTTCTGAAAGTCATCAATTCAAGCTACAGCCGGGGCTTACTAGGAGGGATTACTCCCTTCAGTTTAGGGTTCAAGGTTTAGGGTTTAGGGTGGTCTGCTCCAGGGTCCTGGGTTGATTTTGGCCTCATGTGGGGGTCATTGTAGGGTCAACAAGAGCTTACATAATCCGTTTTGCCTGCATGTGAGGTACTTTTCCAAAACCTTAAACACTTAACCATTATCATCAGCAGGATAGAGGATTCCGGTTCCAAAGTGCCCCCGGAGGCCGAAGACGTTATGAAGAAGTTCAGGCTAGACGATGAAGCTCGTCGCAAGCTGGTCAGGACCCCAGGTAATTGATTCTTTTATGGGTTCTACTATACTAACCACCCCGCCCCCCTCCCCAAGGCACCCCTTAATTAGAGATATTCACGGATCGTAGGGCTATTGCATTTTTAATTCAGGGGCAACCAGGGGGTAGTATCGGGGGTGGGTGGTTAGCGTAACGCACGGCTCTTCACGCGAATCACCACTGCTTCAGCGCGTGTGCGATTAAGGGTCTGTGGCTTATAGGGCTTTTAACCTCAAACCCTAAACCCAGGTCTGGCGTGCAAGTAGGAAGCACTAAATCCCAACAAAGTGACAAAATCAAGTCCACTGTACTGAGCCTTGCAGGCTTACTGAGCTTTTAGAAGTTACATGTTCCCAACTTTAACTACCCGTCTTGAGCTTAAACCCAATCCTAAACCTTAAGCCTGAAACCTGAAACCCTCAAACCTGAATAACCTTAAACCTGAACCCCTCAACTCGAAACCCTAAACCTTAAACCGTGAACGGGGACTTGCAGAAAATGGGGGTACCGTCTTGGGCATCTCCATAAAAGGACTAGAGCATTATGCGGTCATGATTTTGGGGTTTGTATTGAGGTCCCCCTAATTAGTTTGGGAAACTCACAAATAAACTTCACATTCTTAAAAACCAGCCTTCAACCCCAAACCCTCAGATTTCAGCAAGGTTCAAATCGTCCTGCAGCGTGCCGACGACAGCTCCCGCGTACTGGGCCGCCTGGAGGCCGTCCCCTCATCCTCGAATTTACTGGAGCTTGAGGGGAGGTTTCCCAACATTACGGGTATCGTTTTGTGGGTCGCTAAAATACGGATTGTACAAGTCCCCGTATTTTGGGAAACGATCAGTGAGAGGTTGGGAATAGATCCCTATGAGAAGTGGTAGGGGCTTAGGGCATTCAATCCCAAATTGCAGTACCGACATTCCCTCCTCCGCTCCCCTTCAAGCACCAGTACGTCAACTTGCTACTCCCCACTCACGAATGAGCTCCAAGTAAGGTCTAAGGATCCTTCAGAGATGTCATGCCGGTAATCATGTTCCTGAAAACCTGAATTTCCCGAACCTTACACCACCCTGAAACCCATGTTTGCAAAGAAGGTATTTCGAAACGCACATCGCCCAACTTCATGTTCGCACCACATACCTCTTGACAGCCGGCGATTTAAGGCCCCCCCAAAAGTTGAAAACGGATGCAGACGCTTTACCCAGCTCAGTTTTTCCTAAATGTGTCCCAACCCTAAATCCAACACCTAGACACTGAAATCTACACCCTGAACCGTAAACCCTAAACTCGTAACTTCCATGTTCTTTTCCATTTTCCCTGTAAA